TCATTAAGGGGGGACTAGCTATAAACTCACACTGACATATGATTAAGGGGGACTAGTTATAAACTCATACTAACATGTCATTAAGAGGACTAGTTATAAACTCACATTAACATGCCATTAAGGGGACTAGTTATAAACTCACACTGACATGTCATTAAGGGGGACTAGTTATAAACTCACATTAACATGCCACTTTAGAAAACTCATTTAGTCTTCTTGTTTCTTCGTCTTAACAATTTACTTTCAAGTTGACAAAGGATGTGAGAATCAAGATGGTTGGTAGGAACTCTCAAGACTTACTTTCAAGTTGACAAAGGCATGTGAGAATCAAGATGGTTGTAGGAACTCTCAAGACTTACTTTCAAGTTGACAAAGGCATGTGAGAATCAAGATGGTTATAGGAACTCTCAAGATTTATTTTCAAGTTGACAAAGGCATGTGAGAATCAAGATGGTTATAGGAACTCTCAAGATTTACTTTCAAGTTGACAAAGGCATGTGAGAATCAAGATGGTTGTAGGAACTCTCAAGGCTTACTTTCAAGTTGACAAAGGCATGTGAGAATCAAGATGGTTATAGGAACTCTCAAGACTTACTTTCAAGTTGACAAAGGCATGCGAGAATCAAGATGGTTATAGGAACTCTCAAGACTTACTTTCAAGTTGAAAAAGGCATGCGAGAATCAAGATGGTTGTAGGAACTCTCAAGACTTACTTTCAAGTTGACAAAGGCATGTGACTGTCGTTCAAAACTACGAGTGAAAATTATTTAGCAAATTTCTTGTTTCCAGTGAAGTTTAATTAGTAGTTTTTACTAGATTTATTGTGTAGTTTTACTAATGGCATGCGTGGAAACCGAAATGAAAACTCGTGAAGTTTATTAGTTTAGTCTGTGTTTTAGTTTCTCAACATAGTTTTCAAAGAATTCCAACTGTTCTTACATGCCTAAGGACTTAACAGTTCTGGTTGTTTGTTTGCTTGTTGTTAAGCGTAAAGCTGGACAATAGGCTATCTTTGCTCTGCCAACCGATGAGCCACAGAGGGGCTAAAAGTTTAGGAAAAATAATTCAATAATTTGAAAATTTATAAAATCAGCTTGACAGTTCGACAAGAAATGCTGAAATTTCATGAAGATAATAAAGTTATAAGCTGGTCATATTATCCGATGAAATAAATATACTGAGTGACGAAAAAACGAATATCAAGGGCAGGAAAAAGCTGGTCACAAGATAGCTAAGTCAGAGCTTCCATTTCTTATGTTCAAATGTGTAATGCTGATAAAATATGCACAGTAATAACAACACGCATATTTCTGACACACGAAGATAGACTAAGGTGTGCAATATGTTCCAATATAGAAACATATTGTGCAAATTAAAACCCAATAGTAAACTTCATCTAGAAAGTAACAACGAAAAAACATTCATCACATGGTCAAGAAGTGTTATGATGAAAAGGTGTCAGGTAGAAACAGGAGATGCTGGAGAGGCGTCAGGTAGAAACAGGAGATGCTGAAGAGGCGTCAGATAGAAACAGGAGATGCTGAAGAGGCGTCAGATAGAAACAGGAGATGCTGAAGAGGCGTCAGGTAGAAACAGGAGATGCCAAAAATATCGAAAATGTTTCTTTCAAATCGGAAATTATATGAATATTTTTTTTATCAAGTCAGCCTTTTTGTTGTTAGGACAAATATGACTATAAAACCTAAATTTTAGAATATCAGATTGAAGGAAGTTTGTTTGTTTGTTTTAAATTTCGCGCAAAGCTACGCGAGGGCTATCTGCGCTAGCCGTCTCTAATTTAGCAGTGTAAGACTAGAGGGAAGGCAGCTAGTCATCTCCACCCACCGCCAACTCTTGGGTTACTCTTTTACCAACGAATAGTGGGATTGACCGTCACTTTATAACGCCCCCACGGCTGAAAGGGCGAGCACGTTTAGTGGGACGGGGATTCGAATCCGCAACCCTCAGATTGCGAGTCGAGCGACCTAGCCACCTGGCCATGTCGGGCCTTCTAGTCATACATACGTTTTAGTTGTTGTTGAGCACAAAGCTATACAATGGATTATCAGTACTCTTCTCACAGCAGGTATCGAAACCAGATTTTTAGCGTTAAAAGCCCTCAGACTTACCGCTGAGCTACCGGGGCCATCATACATATGAAAGGGAAATAACATAATAATGGATTTATAACGCCCCCACGGCTGAAAGGGAGAGCATGTTTGGTGGGACGGGGATTCAATCCAACGCCCCTCAGATTGCGAGCCTAACAACCTGGCCATGCCGGACCTGATTGAAGGAAGAAAGGTGCGTTGTAATCTTAATATCCCAAAACGCTCTTCATTGACATCAAACTACCTACGAAAGCCGAACAAACATAAAATGTATTTCTGATACATCCGTTCCACCGTGATATTATATCGGCTGTGGTTGCCATGTGACTTGCTGATGTCCATATCCCAAATCATTTTAATATAAGCTACTCAACCATCTGTATAATAAATATCTTAACCTCAAGATACAAGTCAAACCTTATATGAAACCCACACAAACTTAACCTCAAGATGCAAGTTAAACCTTATATGAAACCCACACAAACTTAACCTCAAGATGCAAGTTAAACCTTATATGAAACCCACACAAACTTAACCTCAAGATGCAAGTTAAACCTTATATGAAACCCACACAAACTTAACCTCAAGATGCAAGTTAAACCTTATATGAAACCCACACAAACTTAACCTCAAGATGCAAGTTAAACCTTATATGAAACCCACACAAATGTTCCCTTGTCATCTTTTTGGTCTTGGTCCACTCATTCATGTCCTCTCTCCTCCCCAAGTAAAATAATTACGCATTTTATCAAGGAAACAAAAGAAAAATACACTTCTTAAGAAGACCTCCATTTCCACTTGGCATTCCATCAATTCTCAAACATTCTGTTCAGCCATCTGCATTATCCTTTCTCTGTTGTATTTCCATATGGTAATACTGAACAGCAAGGGACACTGTTAATAAATGTTGATCGTTGTTTTCAACATTTGGCAGCAAATGTAAATACCAAATATCTGTATCAATCAAGAAGCGTCTATAATGTTTCCATGGAGCGTCTGTGACGTAGCTTGAAAATGGCTCACATTATGACTAGGTACTGTGTTTTCAATGACTGTTCACGTGTAACAACGTGCGACTGAGAACTCCATCTCTTCGTCGTCTTTCTGCTGTTATTTCGTTTTCACTTGAATCTATTTGAAGTACGAACTACTCTAAAAAAATCCGAATTTTTTCAGTACTGGATCACACCTCAGAATATTCTGTTAATAAATTCATGCTTTGTCGCAATCTTAGTCTCAGATATATTTCACTGTTTTTCATTGCTTCGCCAATTACCTATTGTTTGGTTATTTGTTGAATTTTGCGCAAAGCTAGCCTTCCCAAATTTAGAAATGATAGAGTACAAGGAAGGCAGCTAGTAAACACCACCCACTACCAACTC